TTTATTTTATTTGTTTCCGTTATATTTTTTGATAATAAATGGTCAAAGGTTCAAAATTTATTAGAAACCATATTTAAACTATAAAAAATTTATGAATAAAAATTATCAATTTTTTAATTTAAAACTTTGATTTTTTTTCTTTGTAATAAACCAAGTTAAAACATATTAAAAAAGTTTTAAAAATGGTGAACAATATAACACAGCTCACAAATGCCTTTTGGCAACGATATTTGAATATGAAATTATAAAAAATAAGTGCTTTTAATAATAGATTTGCTTTTGTAATCATAAAATAAAACCTAAACATTTAAATTATTGTTTAGTTTAATTACGCGTTTGTATTTTTTTCTGTTGTTTTATTTTTGAAAAATATGAAATGATTTTTTTTTGTTAAATGTCATCAACTAGACAAAAAAAACTGTTAATGAAAACTTTCTTGTGAAGTTTGATAACAAGATAGTTCTGAATTAATTAGTTTCTTTAGTTGAGTTGATAATATCATATTGAACATTATTCGAATCTCTGATATGTTTAAACATAATATATTATACTTTAAGTCAATTTTTGTCTCTATTTGTTGTTCAAAAAATCATAAACTATTCAGAATAAAAATTATATCTTTCTTGTGTTGAAAAGCTTTTTTTTAATTTTTATTTACTCATCCGGTTTTTTCGTTTTTTATACTTTCTAAACAAATTATTTTGTTTATAAATAAAAGGAAGATAAATAATAGAGTTAAATTATTCCAAAATATGGGATTATTAGGTTTGACGTTTTTTTGTTTAGAGCATCTCTGATCCAATTATTTCTTTTTTTTTACTTTTTGAAATCGTTGTAAAGCGGCAATTACTTAAAATTTATTTTTAAATAATAAACATTGTTGTTTTTTGTCGATAGTTTCGTTTATTGTAAGAACTTTTTTGGTTCTAAAAATATAAAACCAAGTAAACAACGTTTGAGTAGTGTACATCGTTTATGGACTGACTCTATATCAACATATAAAACAATTTTTGTTTTTATAATTGACACAAAAAGTATAAAAGCTTGCTTTTATAACTATTTTATATAAAAATGATTTTATAATTATATTTTATAATTGAAAAATATTGAAAACAATTGTTTATAATTTATGTTGATAAAAATTGTAATGTACCACCAATTTGTCTATAAATTATATACTTCTTTATTTATATTGCCAAATAAAAAAAACAACAGATAGTAGAAAATTTGGGTGTCAAGAATGAATTGGGTGTCAGATTGATTTTGAGTTATTTAATGGTTTTTCATATTTTTTTGGGGGGGGGGGAATAAAAAAACGAAACCCATTTTTTTACATTAACTAATCCCGAATTTATTTGACACCCAATTTATTCCTGACACCCTATTTTATACTATCTGTAGTCATTATACAAAAATAAAGCTTGTAAGAACAAATGTAATTGTTGTTATCAAAAATGTTAATAATGTTCAAACAATTATTGAACAAATTTTACTTTGTGTTTCAAACAATTTTATAATAATAATTTTTTTACCTTTTAAACAGATAGAAAATTATTCGTGTGTAAAAATAAATAAATTTAAAATTGTTACACAAAAAATGGTTTTTAGTTTGTTAAATCTAAATATTTCTACGGATATATTTAGATCAAAAAAATCAAAAAAACAATAATTTATTTTGATTTTTTAATTAAAAAATCGAATGTTCTGTGTCAGATAGTTTTTTAAGTATCTTTAAAATTGTTTTTAAAATTTAAATTCCCAATGTATATTACATATTTTGCTAGAAATGGGTTTAATAAACAATTTTCAAAAGTTAGCTTTTTGATTTTTCATTATTTAAAACCCAAATTCATTTCTGTAATTTATTGTCCAATGCTTATATTCTTCCTTGCTATTACAGCTCATTCTCAGTGTCAAAAAGTTTTTGTGAATATGCTGATGGAATCAAAAAATGCAACAAAACTATTTCAAAGTAAAGC